AACTACGCATTTTTTAATACCTAAACTATCTTTTGCACGTGTAGTCCGAGAAATTATACTTGACATATTCCCTAGACAGGATATCACAAGGTAAATGATGTTACTTTCTGATTTATAAAATTGAATTTCCTGCAGATTATGCAGATCATTGATTATTTATTTGTTTTTAAGGGTGATAATTAATTAAAGGAAGAACAACTTTATCTTTTACATATATTATATTAAGAGAAATGCAACAAATAAAATATCACAAAGGATGAAAGAAATCCTTACAGCATAAATTAGGAGTTGATATTAGAATTAATTTACAGGATACAAGCTTCTGCTCTCGAAGCCTTGCAAGAAGCAACAGAGATGTACCTTGTGCAATTTTTTGAAGATTCAGTATTGTTGGCATTGCATGCTAAACGGGTTACTCTCATGCGAAACGATATGATTCTAATGCGCAGGCTCAGAGGTCGCGGCGATATTATCAATAGATAAGAAGAATCTTGTTTTACAATTAGATCAATATTTTAAGACAAAACAAATTTTTTTTCAATTCTTATTTACTTTAAATAGACAAATATCTTGCTTTTTTATGTAATGTTATCATAAAATTATGAATAATGATGAAAGGTCTTGCACAAAATTTTATAAAGTTATGACAATGTCATTACAGACAGGAATTTTATAAATATGTTATACCGAAAATGTTATTTTTAATTTGAGACTTGGATTTAAGCTCAGGGACATATACAAAGACATGTGACAAAGTGTTCGTTGCGTTTTATAAGATAATATAAATAATATTGAAAAAAGCTTTTAATTTGTAAAATATTGATATTAATATATATGAATATTGATATTCGTTACACGAATATTTTATAAATTCATGTGCTGTTTTATGTAAATTTTATTCCATGTTAATATGATAGTGCAAGATAGTTCACTAGAGATACATCTATTTTTATAAGCTATGTTTGATACACTCTTAATAAAAAAACAAATAAAGAAAATGCAAATAATTTTTTTATACATTTTTCTCATATTCAATAGGAGTAAAAAGCGCTGTCGTCTTGCTAAATAAAATTTATTTCTGAGAAACATCTCAATAAAATTCATCTTTACGAAACTTTGGTAAAATATACAGTTTTGCAATGATCAGACGGATCTCTTAAACTACGAATATCGAAGCGTTGCCGTTTTGATCCAAGCGGAAACGTATCAGCAATTGGTACAATAAAAAGTGTTAAATAGTAAAATATCTCGCGACCTGAAAAGCGGTCACGGTCATGTATCAGATGTTCGACTTTGTGCATGTGTTACGATGACATTCTTTATAACTGATGACAATTTTTTGTTCCAAACAAAAACAAAATATGTGTGAATATCTCACAATCGATGAAAAGTAAATGGAAAAAAAAAATAGGAATCGTATTAAGAAAACATAGAAAACAATAGTAAAATATTCTGTGGCTAAAAGGTTCATATTTTGATGGAATCTTAACTTGAGAGTTTAATTCTATAGCTATAACTTTAAAATTCTAAATGTTATAAAACAATATCTGACGATTAAATATTAGACAAAAAATATTAATTTTCTTTCTGATTTCAATAATTCCTATATTCGAGAAAGGATATCACTAAATCGTACATGCTATCGAACACCACATACAATTGTGTATAACGTGTTTTTTCAGTGTTAGCTGCAATAAAAACAACCATAATTCGTGGCTATGCCACACGCGTCTTTAAACGCGGGGGGGGAAAAGAACTGCCTAGAAAAATAGTATTACAAATAACGACGTAATCGTCTAAGCTTCTCAATTCGTTCATTCGTTCCTACATATACATATACGTACATACATACATACATATGCACGCACGCACATACACACACATATGTATATATGTATATATGATGATATCAAATACAATTCAACGAGAAAAAAATACAATACAAAAAGACACCTGGAAAAGCAGGCTATTTCGTAGCTATTCCGAGTCAGGTCTCAGAATTTTTATAAAGACACTTTAGTATTTTTAGGCACAACATTTCGCTATATACTTTCATGCTGCCTGTCATTGTACACAAAGCGAATCACAAAGTTCAGAATATGCTTTCGCACGAAATTAAGAAATTATCGGATGTTGACAATTTTTGCAAGCAATAGTCTGCAAAATTGAAGATTTTCAAATAATGTAATGTGATTTTCAAATAATAAAAAAGATATTTAAATAATTGCCGGATTTTATATTATATTTTTTTTATATTTTAATAAATAATACTTCTTTAGGCCTTTAAAATTAAGATTCTAGAATTCATTGTAAGAATGTCTTTTGATTTTTCTGATAATTTTTACATATTCTTCAGACATAAAATTTTGATGTTATCATAGGAAATCATAAAATAAAGTATATTATAATATATATTACATAATTTATTAAAAGTTAGCTTTCAAAATGTTTTTTTAGATCTGAACTTATTCGTGTTCGTGCGCTTTTTACTTCGATCAGCTTGCGGAATTATAAAAAGAAGTTTCACAGCTTCACTTTTTCATAAACGACCGCACCTTATTCACGCACTTGTCCATGAAGTTCCGCTTACGCTTAGGCTCTGCACCCGTTGGCAGCGATAGTAATGAGCCCGGTTCCTTTGCCCGACCTCTGTGCCCGCTGTATTCGCTTGACGAGATGCTCCCTTCGGAGTCCAATCCCGCACCACAGCTTCTTGATACTTTCAGCAGTATCGTCGATCTATCATCGTCATTATCGTAATCGTTATTTTCGTTACCATCCTGCACTGTCTTGCTCTGTTCCTCTACCGGACGCTCTTGGTTCATGCACTGTCTATTAAGGCATGCCGAAGATTGTCCTTCCGAGCTGGAACGACGGTTCGGCTTCGGAGGACGCATCGGGGGAGCCTCCTTGTGATTCTCATTCCTATCCAAAGATGTTCGTATGTCCTTCATCTTGGACTTAGATTCCACAGTGTCTATGGTCAACTTAGGAACTGAATTAAGATTCTTGGATTCAACAGTTTCGATATTAGGCTCTTTTTGGCTATCTTCCGAAGAAGAAATAATTTTATCTTCTTCCGAGCTCGTTTGAGAGCATTCCCGACTTTCCTCTTGCTTCATTTTGTCCTGCTCCTCGCCGTTCTTTGTATCTTCATCCAATAGACCATCTAAACTGCGTGACCTTGGCCTGGGAAGCGGTGGTCGTTGGACAATCACAGAAGAGACCGATTTCTGTTCCTGGTCCTGTTGGTCCAGCAGCTCCAGGGAGCGAGATCGCGTTGATGGCGAGGGTGGTTGTCGCGGTGGCCTACGTGGCACTGCCAAATTACTGCTGGTACCCACTGGATGCGTGTGCATAAACTTAAAACGCGGCGACGTGGGTGGAAGGCCCATTAACCAACGAGATGGACTCGACGACTTTCTTAGTCTATAACAAGAAAACAGAATTTATTACAAAATCATGACTCAGCAAGAAATGCATTTCTCCTTCACCTTCTTCGGTTAAGTAGAATTTCACATTTTTGTACGAAACAACAAACAATTGCCGGAGTATCTAAAAATTCAACCAAATCTGAAAATAATTCTGTTGGATCATTAAAATAATTATGTGAAGAGTTGAAATTAACTGCCAGAATACCAAACGTTTTTGTAATATTATCATTATGTTTAAGAATCCTAAATTTATTAGCCCAAAAATTATTTTCAGATTTGTATTAAATTTTTAGATATTTCAGCGAAACTATACTTTTCAATTAATATAAGATCTGTTGCATCAATTAAAATCAAATTTTAGAAAATTAGTCAAATATTAATTTTATATTCTTATTGATTTGTTAGAGTTTATCTGTATTTTGTAGTATATTGCAACATTCAAGGAAACAATGTTTATTTTAGTTTTATAAATTTAAATATTCTAAATATTTGATACAAATTTGATACAAATTTTCTAATCGAACACCAAAACTTCGATACAATTACATCATGCAATTGTACTATTTAAAGATATAAATATAAATATCATATAAATAAAATAAAATGCTATGTATATAATATGAATAAATACACAATAATATGTGTAGAAAGTTACTAAATTACTATATTAGTATACACTTTCAGAAAAATCTTGCTAAAAAAAGCCTTAACTAATAAATTTAACAAAAGAATAATGTACGCATTCTACACATAAATTATGTAACATCGAACATCCAAATTTATATAAACCTTCACCTTAAACTGTATATTTATAACACAAATACATATATCTACTTGTAATTTAAGGATGAAAATGCAACGATACTAGGGAATTACTTAATGCAAGGATTTGGCAAAGCGATGGGATGTTGACAAATTGACACTATTTAAACATCGATAAAGAATTTATATCGCTGACTGACCTAGTCGTGATTGTCATAGAACGATTCGCAATCTTGTCTGCATGAAAACAAAATTAGCGTTGCGTTAGTAAGGCTCGCTTCAAAATCGCTTTATAAATCGATTCGTTAACAGCCAATATAAAGAGTTTAATAATTCAGATCATTTAAGATTTGTTCTATCAATTTTAACTATTTTCTTAAACCGACTGCAGTAAATCTAAAATTTAACTTCTTACAAATAATAATATACTGATTCCATTTAAGAGAAAAATCTTATCTTAAATAATTTTTAAGTATTTTTAAAGAATCTAAATTATTAAATTATTGTAATTAATCAATTCAATCACAACTCAATTTGTTATTATTAAACTCTTCTTCTTTATGCAATTATTTTAAATTATTCTAAAATATTGATAAAAGTTTGTATTCATAATAGTTAATCTATTATCAAATCATTAATATTAGTCTTAGATTTTTGTTGTCAGGGTATTAATGGAATCTGTAAATTTTAAATTTCTTTCCCGGACATTGACGAATCGATTCGCTCATCAACCTAATGCTAACGTTATACATTAAATTATCAGGGATAACTACCTGCTTGATATAGCTGTGGGCGGGCCGTCTAGTCAGTCTCGTCCACCCGTGGAATCCTTGTCGCTACCCCTGCTTTCGTTGCTGTGCATCCTTTGATAACTGGGCGGCTGTCGTATGTTTGTGTTACTCGGTGTGTTCGGTTGGGCCACGTCTTTGGGCGCCATGCTGCGCGGAATTCCGCCGGATAGATCGGATCTCATAGGTATTTCGCCTCGCATAAACCTTTACAGTCAAAGCAAATATTAAAAAATAATTTTATCAATTGTCACACACACACACGCGCGCGCGCGCGCGCGCGCGCACACACACACACACACACACACACACACACAAAATACATACACATATATCTCCTTAAGTATTTTTGTATTTAAAGTAAAATTGTTAAATAATTAATAAAATAATTATTTTAAAGACTTATGATATAAGTGAACAAATTTTAGAAAGTTTTTATATCTTTTTTTTAGGATATTTGTTTGAGTAATTCATAGATATTTAAATTCATTCATACTAGAAAAAAACAATAAAAATAAAAAAAACTGCCTTCTTATTGTTATCTTAAATTGTTTTTTAACAAAAAGCACAAAGAAGTAATTTAAAAAGAAGACTGATTACTCTACCTTTCCAATTTGTCTACGCAAGCATCTTGGTAGTCATGAATCCAGCGAACACCATTGAAGTGACAAACCGCTCGCATGTCTTCAGGAAGTTCTTCAGGTTCTGGCCATTGAAAATTATCGATAATCGGAATTATATTACACTGTGATTGTAGAGCAGCAACAATTTCCTGTAAAATAAACGGAAGTATAAATTGCGATATTGCGTATAGCCAAAATTTAACTTCTCATATTTTAAATATTGATCGATGCTACTATCATCTGCTACTAACAAGCAATTAAAACAAAATTGTATTAAACTGATCAAAAAATAATTTCTTTTTAATAAACGTAAGAAGAACAAGAAACATATCAGAGACTCACCCTGTGTACCCAATCCTTGCATTCGCTGTCCTGTATACACCTTTCCAAAGCCTGGGGTGTAAGCACAAGAAGAAAGTGTTTGGCCTGTCTGATGCTCTGCAGCAGATTATTATCGAACTTGCCGGCTTCGAGCCTCTCGACATCGATGAACACTGAAAAACCACGAAGTTGCAGATGCACCTTCAACAGACTCGCCAGCTGCGAGCCGTTCGATCTGCGATAACTGACGAAAACATCGAGAGATTTGTCGGGTGACTCGTATTCGCACGAGCTGAATTGATTGTGTTGCATGTTCTTGATGGCGTCGAGTATCCTCAGCCGATGAATGCTGTTGGTGATGCCGCATTCAGTTAACAACTGATCCTCCGAGAGATTGCGTATCGAGTCCTTGTCCACGCCGGCGTTCAGCATGCTGTATGTATAAATGGAAAATTCCTGGCCGATCGATTGAAGGAAGTTATTCAAATTACCGGTGTCACGACTGCTGTAATCGGCCATCTTCTTCAAATTCTGCAGCTCGCGAGCGAATCTGCGACGCATGATACCGTTCGTCAGGCCGATATCTTCGCGCAGATTCTCTTCTGTCAGCTGCAACAGCAGGTCACCGTCCACTCGGCTTTCCACAAAGTTCGGGGCTACCTCGGCGAAACCGATCTGCTTCACCCATTCTCGAACGTCCTCGGTGGACCATAAAGGTACTTGTTGGCTGAGTTTATGCGGAATTTCCTCGCCAATTAATCTTAAAGCTTGCGCCGCATATTTAGACGCGATCGCATTCGGACAGCTGGCTACCTTCTTCAGCGGCTCGATCGCGCCAATCGTCCGGAAGATATCGGTGTTTCCCTGTTGCTTCTTAATACCCGCCTCCATGCAGAAGTGGAAGGCCGCCAAATTGCGAGCCTCTTCCCGCTTCGAGCTCAAAACCGGCACGAGCCTCTCCAGCCAGTTCTTGCTCTGACCATGTGCGTGCGCCAGATTTGACTTGGCGAACTCGTAAGGGTTGTGCGACGTAACGAAAGGCTCGACAAGATCGAGGGTGCCAGACTTGAGGACAGCCGCTTCGATTTCCTTGTTGGCAACCAGTACGGCGATAGCCAAACAAGCGTAATACTTGATGTTGTCGTCGTTATGGAAGGCCAATGGAAATAACCACATCGGTACCTTGCGCTTGATCATCGCTTCCTGGTTTTCAGCACCGCCGTATAACGACAGATTCGCCAATGCCCCCGCGCAATGACGCAGAGTCTCCACGTCGTTCTTTCGGCACTCGAACAGCACCGCGTCCAGACCACCCAGTCTAATCACGTCGCTGCAGGTGCCCTCGCTATGTTTAAATAAATGCTCGAGTATTCCGGTGCCGACGCGCGCGTGATCCACCGAATTGGCGTTCTTCGTGCACACGCACGCCACGTTGACCACCTTCTCCAGGCCGTTCTCTACCACGTGGGCGCGATTCTCCGTGGTCAAGCATTGCTCCAGCAACCTCGCCGACGAGAACTGCAGCTCGTGATCGTTCGCCACGCAATTCGACATGAGTAGATCGAGACCGCCGCGCGTCCTCAGGGTGTTGCACAGAGTGTAACCTAGCTCGTGGCCGTGCGTAGGTACCGCCCAAGCCTTGCGTATGATCTCGTTCACCCTGTTCAACAACTGTGGTGCTTTGCTGCTGCTGCTGTTGATCTTGCCACCGTCGGCGCTCGCCTTCAACCGCTCCACGAAGCTATCGAGCAGGTTGCAATACTTGGCAATCGCGCAGTCCACATCCTGCGGATTCGACTTGGAGCATAATAGATCCAGATCGTCCAAGGGTAAGGACAACAGCTCGTCCTCGGCTGTCGGAGGTCGCATGCCGTTCATCAACTGATTAACCGCACTCGCCGCGTTGATCATCGATGACTTGGATGCACTCACGCCCGACTTGGATGCAATCGTGATACTCGACTGCGAACTCGAAGCCATATGCTTTTCATGGTTGAAAATGCCAGTCGAGGTGACCGTCTGCCGTTGCTGCTGCGCTGCCATTGCCTTCTGCAAAATACAAAAATATCATCCGTTTGTTACTTTGAAATCTTTAAAAATATCGCCAAAGAGGAAGATCGTCGAGGATATTGGCAAACATTAGAAATATCGCTCTGATAAACAGAATAGATATATTTCAGACATCTCGAGGGATACTTTTCTAAGTAGTTTTTATTAACATGATGTTTAATGTATTTTTATCAAAATATTGATAAAAATATGAACAAAATCCGGAAAAATAAAAAAATTATTTGCAAAAATAAGTAGATTTCAGAGTAAAAGAACTAAGTATTACTGCATGATTACGCTACTCCAGCAAGCAATACAATTTGCAAATAAATCTTTTATATTTGTAAGAACATTAAACACCTTTCCGTCTACTTAAACAATCTGAAAACATCCGTGTCATTATGTAATAATCATAAATATGATGAGAATTAAAATGTAAAATTTACGCGTGATTATATGTCGCGCACAAGTATAAAACATCGATAAAGATGTAACATTATTGCTTCCCTCAGTTCTGTAAACTTTACACTTCATTTACCATTCGTGAATCAAGACTGCACTTTCTGAGCATCATCCCGAACGAATACGAGTGATTTTGGCCTCCTTCGCGTCTCTTACTTTGTGCTTCTCGAATCAGTCGCGAGTCCACTTTTCGACTGGGATCCGAGCTCGCGTTCGCCGGCGTTTAAATCACCGCTCGTTGCATCGCGGATGCAGAAACAGCGTAAAACAGTGACACGACTTCGCATGCCAAAATGCGACGCAGCCGCCGACCACAGTTCTCTAACATCGTTAAAAACAACGATTTATGATTTAGGCTGTTGGTACAGTGGGTGGATTTTAACGCGCGTTCCTTGGTGAACCGCCAGAAACACGAATGTAAGATTCCGTGCATAATGGAGGGAATAGGAATAGAAATAAATATTAACTTTTGGAAATAAAAATTCGGAATAAAGATTAAACGCACAATGGACACAAGTAATAAAATATAGCTATTAAAATATAGCTGCGACTTTATGACTTTACAATTTTCCAATATACTTCGATCAAGAAGAGTTTCGTAAATAACTCATAAGAGTTCGTAAATTTAAAGGAAAATCATATTCGACAGGATAAAATTAAAGCTGCAGAAAAGCGTGATAGAATCATAACAATATTCTCAAGCCGTAAAATAATTTAAAAATAATTTAAGATTATGATCATTGTTCACGGAACAAAAGAAATTTTCGCAGGAGAGAGTGACACTATATTTATACATAAAATCGCACATGCGGAGGTAACGTTTTGGATGATACCGAGATGAGACTGAAGGCTCAAATTCGAGACTTTTTGTGCTGAGAGTCTCAACGCTATCGAGAATCTCATCGAGACTCTCAAATACCTGTTGAAATGCTTAATTAATCGTCAGTTGTCCATTTGCCAATTGTGATATTGTAATTCCCTAAGCATCGATATAAACATTTAGGTGATAATCTAACAAATGCTTTTTTAAACCTTTTTTAAACTTGTATTAAAGTTTTTCATTTTTATACATTTTCTTACTTTCTTTTCACTTTCGCATATTAAACATTTTCCAAATTTCATCTTGTCTTCATCTATTGAATAGGCAAAATATTTCTTCAATATACTCGATCTCGGCGAATTAGGTACTGATTGTCTTACACTGTCGGTTTCTGAACGAAACATTTTTTAAAATTTAATCTTCACTTTCAGAAACGATATTCAATTACGGAGATTAATGTCCTGAATGGAGAAAGTGTTTCGTAACTTCGTCTTTCCAAAACAAGACGAAGAAGCTAGATAGCCACACGCGCCAAGAGATCGGGACGAGATTGTATTGTCGAAACCAAGCCGATATCGAAACAAAACTGAAAATTTCGAGATCAAATCGAGAACTAATCTCGTCTCGTTTCGGCAAGACCGAATCACTAATGCGAGATGATTGCGACTATGTTTCATCGCAGGCAATAGTATATGAAGCTTTACTTGATTTTCCGGCAAGACGGATTACCTTTTTTTCGAGCAAGCTACTCAAGAAACTGATGCGGATTCACTGCGTAACTCCCGATAGACTGCTAAGCTCTCCTCCTTTTACCTTTATATTCTAGACTGTTCCTTTTTTGAGCAATTTCCGTTGTTATTGTAAAAGGAACAATCTAGAATTATAATTATCGTTAAAATAACAATTTGTTGATGTTTGCGGTCGCGCGAGGGCAACAGTCGTTGTCAAGCGCTAATTGGCTCCTCCATTTTGAATTAGCCGCCACGATTCGATGCCAGCGTGAAAACAAGTGTTCCCGCGTTAATCCAATTGGCGCACGTTATCCTCATAAGGCACGAAATATAATCGAATAGCGCGAGACGTGCAGAGCGCGGAGAGATTGCGCTGCCTAAATCTGGTAATAATATCCTATCACTAAGGTTGATCAATCTCGTATTAAAATGTCAACTAACGAGAGCTATTGCAATCTCAACAATCGCGTTAAATATATTATGTATTATTTAAAAAGTAATTTAAAACAAATTATAATTTATATTCATATTTAATTTATAAAGGCCATATAGATAAAATAAAAATTTCAGAGATAAAGATATATTTCACGAAAATCATTGTTTATTTACCTTTTCAGAGGTAAAGGAATCGCTTTGAAGTTTCATAGTGGATGCTGCCATGTTGTTGCTCTCCTGATGTGAGAGATCACCAGCTTTCAAGCTTCTCTGCTCCTGAAAAAGAAAAAAAGAGTATACGTTCAATATTTCTCTGATCTAATTGCAATATTTTGTAATCTTAATTATGTCGATATTCCGAATATAAAATTTTATAAAATCGCTCTTCTAGAAAATTAAAGCCCAAAAATTTTTCTATGTTCTTCATTTCTACTCCTTTTGATCAAATTTTGATATCATTTCGTTATCATTTCGACTTTTTATTTCTCACTCGAGATTGCTGTGTTAGCGATCCAGAGAAAATATCGCTTTGCAATTGAGATTTGTAAATATTTTCGTTTGAATCGTATCGTTTTTTTTATTTTATTTTTCTAAATCATCAAGTTCAGCGATACAAGCTGTGATAAAAATAGACATTTGGTAGTTCCATGACATCTATGTATAACGCGCCGCCGCGCGTTGCAAGAAATTAGCGCGCGTTATCGAAGGTCCACTTATGGCGCACTCGCTAATTTGCAGAAGCAGATAGATGATAGCATCTTGTACTGAGAGAGTACAACTGTTGCACTGTACTCGGGATGATGCGATTTTTTTCGGTGTTCCGACACGCAGCTACAAAACACACACTTCGCGAACAGAAACGCATAATGAGATACGCGTTTCTGTCATTCTAATCTTTCGTCCGACAGTTACTCATCCTGATTGAATAGCGCGAAGAATCGAGAAATTGCAAGAATATTGCGCAGGCAAAAATTTATTTATAACACGCTATATAAATATATCGTGAAAAAGAGAAAGAAAGGCTTGTAAAAGAGAGAGAAAAATTGTTTAACACAATTCTGCGATTCTACTGCGAACTTTCGTTTTCAGTATTCGTATAATATTTAATAATATTGTACGAAAATTATTTGAAGAAATTTATATTCAAATCAATATGTTCAAATCATCATTGAATCCGATAATACATTCAAATATTTAATCACTGAAAAGATTATCATTACATATACTTTTCGATTCGTTATGCTTAAAAAAAGATTATCTTATCATTACAGAGAGAAGAAAGGGCAAAAACATTTTGATCTAAATAATTATAACATTTAGTCAAACCAATTTCTAATATAGATAAATGCCATGCACCCAACTACACTAAATGGCAATAAATACTCAATCTAGTATTGTTGTCGTCTGGTATACGAGTCGTTCTTATCACTACTACGTTTTTCCAAGGATGAGAAGGCACAATGATACTTTCCCCTCGAGACTTCGCGATACAATGATCTGCATTGTGAAAAGCTTGTCGAGTCTTCTGGCTTTGTTCCCTCATCGTCGACTATTCCTCTTCTCTTCCGTTCAGCACTCCCAACGTATTTCTCTAAATATAATTCAAGCGTGTCGTCACAGCTGCCTGTTAATATGATGCATTAAGCTCGACTTAAGCTAACTTTACTACTACTCCGCTCTTGTCGCTTGCCATCTTACTTTGCAATTCATGACGTCGATGATAATGTCGCGAATGGATGTATCAACAGATGAGGAAGAGCGTTATCTCATTGCAAAAATCAGCCCACGCATTCTGCAGCAGAATGCAATCAAAATTCCGTAACGTAAAATAAAACAATTAATTTCAATTGTAATTTTTCGCATGTAAGTTAATAAATATGTTTGATACATTTGCATTAAAATTCCTCAAGGTGGGCCTCGCTAACTTCTACGAACACGACTCTTTTTTCATGAGGTTTAAAGAACATGACTTTTTATAAACTTCATTTTTTCAATAATAATATTCTTCTTTTTATTAATAATTCTTAATTAGCATATATGTTACATGAATTTCCTCAACGATTTTGACGATTAATTTCTTGTATATAAATGACGAGTATTCGATCGCGCAAGATTTTGTTTTATTTTTAACTCAGATGTGATATTTTAAAAAAACCTCGAATGATGTGAACGAACCCTCGATTTTAAATACATTCTGTGACGTATCGCGTATATTTACATCAACGACAAGTGTGGAACGACCATACGCTTCCTCCAAAATGGTTCAGTTCCGACTTACAGAATAGCTTATCGGCTTATAACGATTCGATAATTCAATAAATATATTATCGAAGATGCAGAAGAGAAAAAGTACAAATACGAAATAACTTAAACTTACCACTCGCGACTGTTCGAACTGTTTTCGATGTAATATTCCACGATGTATCGGCCACGGTGCGCTCATATTTTAATCGATATTCATATCACTCTTTCAATATAAAACAAAATCGATATGATGATAGTTATTTTTCTTAATTACAAATAAATCACGAAACATCCTTAAAGAATATAATGCATAATTCACCAAAAAAGATTTCAGAAATCAATTAAAGTATAATCAATACAATTTCAAGAAAATTTCTTCCAATTATTCTGAACTATATATTATTAATTCTAATAACACTCAGTCATCAATTAATTCTTATCAGAGAATTATTTTTCATTATAATTTGATTATTTTAAAATTCTTTTATTTAGCTTTAACAAATAATTATTTTTAATTGTTTCAAAGCAAATTGTTTTCAATTATTCTTAACAGAATTACTTCCCATAATCGATCCCGCATTTATCATACGTGCGTACATCAAATGGCATACATCAAATTTAAAATTTAAAATTCGCCCGACAGTTTTCTTCAAAGTAAAATAATTATAAATGATATGTGGTTTCCGATCGGGTCGTAGAAAACACGAGAGCTTTTGATCACTATGGTCACGAGTGTGATGGCAGCGCGACGCAAACTAATCTGGACTGTGCTTAAGTGTGATTCACTACCCGGCGAGAGAGTTTAATTTCGTTACGCTACTGCGAAGCAGAGAGAGGGAAAGAAAACAGAGGCAGAAAGAGAGGAAGAAACAGAGAGAAAGAGAGAAATGCATTTCCGCACGTCAATCGCGTAATCGGTGCACTGGCTTTTTAATAGTCCCACCGTTGCTGCTATTTTTCGACTAGCCTAGAAATAGTTCGCGAGCGAATCATTCTCGCGAATGACTCGCTCGTTTTCAATTTCACACTCGCGGATGGATTAAATATGAATTTTAGTTTTGATCGTTCGCTAAGACACGCATTTTTGCGTTTTCGATAAAAGTACCGTCGTAAACGCGCGACAATAACTTCTAATTAAATACGCTGAAGATATGGTAGATTTGATTAACTGGAATAACGGTTCGCGTGATGTTTCGCTGTGTGGAACGTGTTTCCATAACAAGACAAGATAATTAATGCAATCATGAGTTTGTAATACTTTTACAATACTCATTAAATTCTTTTGGGTAATTCCATAATTACGTATTACTTTCACACAGCGATGAAGTGAATGATTTTTCACTATGAGTGCGTTACGTAACTTAAATCGTTACGTTTAATGCTGAGTTAAAAATGCGGTATCCATTTTTTTTATTTTACGCAAAATCGTCAAATAATTCCAATTCAATATCCCATATTGATACACATTAAAGTTCGATGATCGATTCCATATTAATTTAAAACGAGGTTAAAGTCGAGACTTCTGCGATTATATAATGTATATATATATATATATATATATATATATATATATATATATATATATATGCAAGATATCATTTATATACGCGACGCACACAATTCCGATATTCCACACGTTATCTTTATCATTGTCAACTCGATATCAGGCCAAATTTCCGCGACGGAAAGAGATTTATGTCGCAATCTCATGACTGTTTTCATTAAGCCTGCACAGGTCTCTTATCACGCCTCTATTCTTATCATCCTTTTGTTGTTCGATTCAACGACGATGGCCTCTTTTTCGGACGGGAAAACCCGCGACAAGCCCACGACACGTGTATCTTGCGCTACCACTGGTAAACGTGTCCTTGAAATCGGCAACGTCACAGTCGGCTGGTAGTTTAACTACCACGTGCGCACGCTCTATCTTCGGTTGCGATCTACCGAGGTATCGGCGACACCTAGCAGCATTCATAATCGTTGTCTTTGGCACGTCTTCCGACCTCTCACCGAAATCTGAACGATGATCTCACGTCGCATCACGTCGCGTCGCATTGCTGAATGAACTGTGAAAACGAAACAGCGACTCTGTCATCGCCGATAGCTGCACGGCTCTATTTTAATATCGTCACTGTTCCTCGGGACATCGCGCGTCTCTCAAAAATCCAAAATTAAATCCCGAACATTCTTCCTTAACACAGTTTGAGATTAAAATGATGCGAGAGCAATAAACGGCTCTTGTTATCCCTCTTTCGCGAAGCGCAACTAAAAAAGGAGTCACTTTGATGCGATCAACAGCGAGAAAGAATTAGAGTGAAATTATGTATTGCTTTCGCAACCCAAAGGTCTGCTAAAAAAACGTTCGATTTTGACAAAATCATCCTACCATTTGCGAAATGACATTCTGGTTGCTCGAGATCCGAGGATGAAGACGCTCGTGCGGCATCCCGTCACTGCGGGCCCTCGGACCTGGGAAAAGGCCCCGTGCCAGCAGCCTCGATAGTTGATGTCCCATGCAACATGCAATCAACTAACCAAACCCACCGACCTACCGACCGACTGACGACGAGCGACGTCGCGAACAAACTGCTCCTTTGCGGGGTAGCGGATTATCGACCTGGGGGTTGCGACGGGGGACTGTTTTCGCACTCGGTCATATCCGCGACTACCATTTCCCCCCTTTTCCTCCGTTTGCCATGGAAACGTGGATGATGTCTTCGCGAAAGTACGAGAAAGTACGAGAGAGAAGCGAGAAAGAGTAAAACAAACAAAGAATAGTTTAAACTTTGAAAATAAAAATATTTTTTATTATTTTAAAGGAGCCTTCCGTTTTGCGACAGTGTTTTCTTTTAGTTTCTTTTAATTAAAACAATAAAGAATTTATGACGATTAAAAAAAATGTGTGCTCATTAAAAATGTAACGCGAATTTTGAATAGAATATCGTGGAATTAATATTTTTAAATTTGTTTTTCCGCTCGAATTTCAATAAATCACAAATCGAATAAACAATTTTTATCTAGTTTCATTGAAATTAAATTTACGCCACGTTGTAGTTCTATGAATTACTCGCATTACTGTAAGTGGAAAATCCTTTTTTGTCATTCTCTTCAAGTATACATTGACGCCATTGATTTCCAACAATATCTTATGTAACAAGCTACTAACGGAGTACTATATAACTATATAAATGTAAAGAGACACGAGTATATATTTCTACTAAGTAAATCAATCAAAATTTCTAGATGTTTATCTCTTTCATAATATTTCATAATATTTGCACTAAATAAATTATTTTACGAGCTGCCAAAAACATAAATGTATTCGAAAGATAATAAAAAAATAAAAGAAATAAATCTAAAAAAAGATTATAGCTATTAATCGCAATCAAAAAAAAATACTCTTTATCAATAAGCACACATATAGAATATCTGTTGTTCCAACAATGAGACACAGTCAGACAAAGATGTGTCTTCACCTAAGTCTGGCGGCATCTGTCGGCAAAGCTTTCAAGTCACAAATCGTGCAGAGATAAGTGTAACGGGATATATCGTGTACTTTTATCAGACATATATACACAGGGTGATTCCCATTAATTACTATGTGCACATAATAATTTATTTTTTTTTACTTAATAAATTATCTCCGAGACATAAATGATCCTCACGAGACTCATTTTTGCGGATTGGATGGGAAATGATTGGCGATGAAATCGCCGAGAGCTGACCCACCGGAATGGGTGTCGCAAGGCCGACACGTGGGGTCAAGGACAAACACCCACCCACAGGAGGGCATGTAAAAAAAAGAATAACGGCCTGAACACACTCACGAAGTAACACGCAACCATCCGCGATTTTCGAGCCAAGCACGCACCTTTTGTCCCAGGAAAGACTGCGATTCATCTTCCTTCCGAGTCAGTCAGACCTTTTTGTTGCTGATTAAATCTACCTACGCGATTCACGCGAAGATGCCATCAACGAAGGGACATTCCATGCTCGAAAGATTAATTATCTTTTTCCTTCTTTGTAATAATACAAAACGTAGATTAAATATTTTTCATGACTGCAATAATGTAAATCAAAAATTAAAATAATACACGATAGAAAGTTAAAGTGTATTTTAGGAAAAAGTTTCGATATTTTTTGTAATAGAAATTAAAATAATTCGAAATATGTACATAATATATAAAGTACTAAACATCTTTTATATAATAAACTTGAAATAACGTAAAAAATAGTATTTATAATTTCTTTAATTTGATATAAATATATTTTATTTTTGTGAGCCTTTATTTCCAATTAGTAAAATATTGAATAACTTAAAACTTAAAGTTTAAATCACGCGACATATTTCTAAGGTATATATATTAATAAAATAATTAATAACATAGTTATTTTTATATGTATTTTGTATGCATCAGATCAATAATTTTTTTCAACAATTTTCTTTCAAAATCATAAATATAACTTTTTCTTACCATATTTTTTTCATTTTTTATTTTTTGTTGGAGAAAGAAATATATAACAGAACTATAGTAAGACAAATCGTCGAATCTCGGTGGAAGCTCGACGGCTTAATTCTACCGGGTGACCCGTATCGTGCGTGGATAGAGTTTTCGCGATTATTTACGCCTGGCGGCGTGTCGTCATCTAAATTTAGACGAATTTAGCTAGGTCGGCTACTACGTGGCTCCTTGAGTCAGCAGCATGCGGATTTCTGAACGCAAGCCAAACCGACTTCTCGTGTCGAACGACACGTCTCACGATTACACGATTACACGAGATCATCCGCGAACTATCCGCCTGTCGCGATGTTCGTACCATCTCTTTTGCGAAATCATCGCCTTGGACGATAGTCAAGGTCGAAACTGCAGTGTTGCTATTGAATGCATATAACGAGAAAGCGCGACTTCGATTCGCATTATTCAGCGAAAACGTCGCGCGACTTTTGCAAGATGAAGACGAGTCTCGAATCGTGTAATTTGACGTAACTGATCATAGTACTGATCGATGTTTATCGTTGTATTTAAATCCAGCTGAATATATAAAATTGCCCAAAAAACGACATTTTCCTTTTATAGATACTTTTTTTTGTTCACTTTGTGTGTGTAAAAATTTAATTTTATTTATACCATCACTCGTTTCGTTCGTACTTTTAATAAAAATTTAACTTTTATCTACAGAATAACACAGAACTAATCTCTGCATCGCAATAAAACTTTCCATAAATTATCTTAAATAGTTAAAAATTTTATATAAAAAAATTGAGATTTTTCCTTATTACATTTAAAGCACGTCTACTTTATACATCTACTTTATACTTAAAATAATTTTTGATCCAGATTCTAAACTGCCGCAAAATGTTTTATATTTATTGCTTTTAAATGCGCTCAAAAATGATCTATAATTTTTCACAATTCTTTCAATTGTAAATAAATATAGGAATGATATTTCCTTAATTCCGTCACGTGTAAAACACATCCAACATCTCAAATTCTCGAACAGACTTCAAACGAACACGTCCTCATATTTTCGCTTTCATTTTTGTCGTAGGTTCCGTTTTTTCGGTCTTTTCGGAAGTAGTAGTAGTTAAATACGTGATACACGTGCAGTTTTCATTTTAGCGCGAGCAACGGGACCCCCGAATACGGGACACACGTTGAGGAAAACGCAATGTACGCGCATGTCAACGACCTCTGCAATCGCGCCATTTACCCACACGGTTTCCGCACGCTGCCGCGAGCCTCGTGCCAAATTATTCGGCCGCGCCCACAGCATCTTCCTCTCGATCCTTTTGTTACCCCGAGCGAGAAAGGTCAGGCTCAGAGAGCGAGAGCGGACGTCTTCTCGGCGGACGTAGAGGAGAGCTTTTGTCCACTCACGTTTCAATTTTTAATTTGGACCACTACATTGTTTACGAACACGCGGGTCTTTGACCACAGGAAGTATCGAATGTACAACTCCACTGCGTGACACCGATCGCGGTACTCGCGTTCTGCCTTACTCCTCGGACCGGAAGTAATAAGCACAGTATTTCGCCCGTAATTTCACGCGTTCACGACCCTCTCAGTGACGGACAAGTTTGACATTTATTTGCAACTACATAAAATTTGTTTCCCTGTATAACATGTCTTACTTCTTTTTTTATTTTATCTACATTTCTGCATTCGTTTTCGTATCTCTTCATTCGATGATTTGTCTCTAACATGCTCTACTATTATCTTGTACAAATATAATCGTTATGTTTCCTTTACTTAGCAACAATAATATTCCGACGCTCTAGAATTATTTCATTCGGTACTGTTCTATTTATTCAAGTACAAATATCACTCACCCTCGCAGCAGCGATGCTCTTCTCCGCCGAGACGCCGTCAAGCTCAACGCGTGCCCTCGCCGCCGTTGCGGCGCTTTGCTCCTTGTAGGAAACATCGCCGGCTTGCAGAGCTCTCATCTCGGCACTGTTCGCCGTCGCCTTTTCAGCGCTAAATCCATCTGTGACGACCTAACAGAAACGAGACGACTGTTAAACGCGAGGGCAGAATGAAAGCGAACCGGCAAACCGATCGTGTTCGAGATATCGAGATGCACAACGCTGGATCTCTTAATGTCTCTTTGCACACGATATTCGAGGATAGGACTCGCAGTCCTTGACCTAGACTACCTGGAGGAAGCCGCACCTCGACTGCCAGCCATTCGCTACGCGTCTAACATTATCACCGATGTTCGCAATATGTAACGGTCTGTCTATCGAACGTCACGACTCGCTCGGCAAATCCGAGCTAAATCAATCGCGCAATTCTTATCAAATACGTATTTTTAGGCACACGTTATTTTGCGGATACTCGGATGAATGGCTCGAGTTCACTTGCTGATAGCGTGCGCGAACTCTGTTTTCAACATTATGAAATTCAGTATCTCGGGTAAACCGACAAACATTCTAATTATTATTTCCATATATTATGTACCATATTTTACTTAATTTCATTATTAGAGCTTTCTATAATTTTCTTAATAACACTCTCTCTCCCCCTCGTTTTAATCAAGCTCAAGACCTAAGCAATCTTATAAATCTTTAAAAAATTATTCATTAACAATATGTAAAAGATAATTTTTAATTTTTGTTTAAAATAAAAATAAAAAAAATAAAAAAAAGATAAATGCAAGAAAAGCATCGTTCACCTTTGTCTTCGAGGCGCTAGTCATTTTCTTTTGTTCGAATTTCATAGTTTCCTGACCGGCAGGTAAATTTGCCATATTTGATATGTTTATTGGCGGGCTTATGCTGTGATGAAGATTATTCAGCGAGTTCAAGGAACTCAACTGAGACGGAGAATTGCCTGTTAATGTTACAGCGTCGCTGACAGGTGGTGGCGTGTCTGGATCCGGAAAAGTCACCAATGGCTCTGTGAGATCGGCCTCTTCCGGTCCACTGCTATCTCTGTAGAATTCACGAAAAAAAAACGTAAGTTTCATATAAAATTTCTAATATCGCG